CACGCACTCCTTCACTCATACTCGCAGAGCGACAGGAGGCGCTCGGCAAGAAACAGCGAGAGGCCATTAAACTTCATGCACTCACTCTGTCGGTATCCGTGGTGCGATTCCATATCCGGAGTCGGAATAATTAATATTTATATCACTTATCAAAGCTGCACCTCCGCCTGGCGCAACAGCATACGGTTCTGTACGATCAGAAAACTAGTTGCGACTAAACTCCGCTCTGTCTTTCACCTGCAGATAAAACCGGCTTGTGAAGGGTCTAAATCTGGAGAAAAGAAAGACTCATTTCTGTCGCAAACTTAGGGCACCCCGACACCACAGCGGACATTCCGCCAGGCTGGACACTTCAGAGCGCCTGCCCTCTCCGAAAGCCCATTTGCCTACGACGTCTGCATACGTGCCAGCGTGGCGCACCAGCGAAAGCCTATTTGTTCACATAAGTGCCACTCAATATGTTCTGCGTGCTGATTGGCTGTCACGGCAGTCGTTTTTCCCCACGGAGCGCAGGCCCATGCCGTGTTACGGGGGCGGGATTACTGTCATGAAATTAGTCCATTGGATGAACTAGATGTCCCTCAAGAAGCTCTTCGCCCACGATTGGTTCGAAATTAGTCCCGTACCCGAAAATGTGTTTTCTAATTGGCTAAGAGCGAAAGCACGTCATTTCAGGCTTGATCGCGATTGGATGTTTTACTTTTATTTTTTTATATACTGTATATATTTTGGAAACCACAGCGGCTCCTCTGGGAAGTTTAGCGGGTTGGGTTGCGCGGCGGGATCCGGTCCAGACGTGTCTGGGTGAAGAAGCCAAGGTGTCGGCTTGAACAATACGGCCGCTCTTTCTGCACGAAGTAACCTCTTTTTAGTTTCTGGTTGTCTCCTCTGATTCACAGCTCACCGCCGGTTCTGAAATCTGATGGTTGGCGGTGAGTTTAAGGATTCTGAACACTTCTTTCAGGTCGCCTTGTAGTCTGCTCTGTTCAAGACTAAAGAGACTCAGTTCCTCCAGCCTGTCAGTGTGGGACACTCCCTCCAGACTAAAGAGACTCAGTTCCTCCAGCCTGTCAGTGTGGGACAC